ATGGAAAAAACATACCATGTATACGGTATGCATAAAAACAACATTGTGGCTATGTTTATATCAGACAAAGTAGATTTCCAGAGAGTAACTGACATCAGAGACGATGAGAGATATTTCATAAAGATAAAAGAATTAATTCCTCAAGAAGATATAAAAGAGTATGCTCCCAAAAATATAGATTCAAAACACAAGAAGCAAAATTGATAGAAATAAAAAGAGAAAGAGACAAATTCACATTTCCCAAAATTGATAAAATTAGACCCAAAAAATCAAGAAGTAGAAGACTTGAGCAACACTATGAAACAACTTGACCTAACTGATATTTATAGAACTCTGCCACAACTGCAGAATATATATCCTCTCAAGTGATCACATGAGACCAAATTCTGGCCACAAAGCAATTTTCAACATATTTCAAAAGACTGAAACTATACTGAATGTGTTCTCTCACAATAATGGAATTAAATTAGAAACCAACCACAAAAAGATAACTAGGAAATCTCCAAATATTGGAAAAGTAAATGCCATTCTAAGAAGTCTGGGCTTTATCCTGTAGTACCAGTAGAGCTATTCAAGGATTTTATGCGACAGAATGATACATTCAGATGTGAGTTTTTAAAAAATAATTTTCATTGAAAATAAAAAATGCAGAAGAAGAAGAAGGACTAAACACACTCATACAATAGAGGAATAAGTCACAACTCATATGAGAAAGGAGGAGAAACTGATCTAAGGCAGCTGAAAGGAAACAGCATTGAATCAATGTTTTCAAATGTAGAATCAAGGGGACTTGGTGACCAATTAATTACATGTGATCTGCAAAGCTAGACAGTCTTAACAAACTTTGATGACAGGATAAATAGGAATGCCATGTACGGAGATAGGAAAAACAAGGAGAAGCAGTTTTTGCTGGGTATAGGAACTAGAAAACACAAGTGTCCATTACAGGCTCTACCTTTAATGCGAGAACATCAATTCCAACTGCTGCAGCTTCTTCCTGTTTGGTTCAGAGATTTAACCCAACTTCCTCTTCCAGGTCACTTAATCTTCAAGTTCCGCCTTGTCTGCTACTGTGGGTTCTGCACCCTGATACTTGCTTTTCCACGTGATCACTTGCTATTCCTTAGTACTACTGTCTACTCAGGTTTTCAACTGGAATATCAACTGGAGATTCCATTCATGCTTGGATCTGCTTTTCTGCTCTTTCTTCAGATTTAGTAAACAGGTCTTCAAAGTGTTTTTGGCTTGACCCATGTGCCCTGAGGACTTTTCATATCTGCTTACTGGCTCAGAGACACTGCAAATATAGATGAACACAGCAATATCCCACCTCTACTCTAGATTCCTGCTCAGTTTACTGAACAACTCCATCTAGCTTCTGCTTTATAAGGGAACAAGTTTGGACAATCAGTTCAATTAAGGACACTGAGCTTGAGGTCCTTGTGAGCATCCGGGTGGAGATACACAGAAGGCAGTTGGAAATACTGAGGCTGGGGTTCAGGGAAGAGATGCACTGGGGGACAGAGATTTATGATCATCAGCAAATAGGTTGTAATCAAAGCCACATGAGTGGATAAGCGTGATCAAGGAGACTATAAAGCAGAAGTCCTTAACCTGATGGGCTTCAGGGGCATCTATGCATCCACTAAAATTGTGGGTAAAATTTTGTGTATGTATGTGTCTGGTATTTCTAAGGTAGGGATCCATAGGTTTCATAGATTCTCAAATAGGTCTGTAAATCTAAAAAGATTAAAAACCTATGGGGGAGGGAGAAGGCTTAAGATGCATCCTAAAGGGCATTATTTACTGAAATGTGCTACAATTTTGGGATTTGAGACTATTGTGGGAAAGAGTAAGGAATATGTTAGCATTTCATTTCCAATTTACCATCTGAGTCACAGCAACCATGAAACACATGATTTTCTATTCAAAATTGGGCAATTTATCCCAAAAATATGCTGATTCAAACACCAATACTTTTAGACTACCCAGAATTGTATGAAAAACAACACTTTTAGGCCTAGAGCTTTGGATTCTATATTCCCAGTCAAAATGTGAAGTTTTTCTTACTCTCTCCCCATAATTAAAGGGAAGAGTCTCCCCAGCCATCTTTTTTCTCTGGAGCCCACCTCATGTCACAGCTGACAACCGAAGATCACTTTTTAAGCATTACTTTATGGAACTTCATGACCATCAATGCTGGATATATTAGCATCTGAGTTTTTACAAGCAAAAAGGCTTTGAAAATACATAGGATTTAGATTACAATAAGGCCTATGAAACCCAACCCCACAAAACAAGAATGTCAGCTTGTACATATTATCACAAAGTGCTCAAAAATGCAATTGCAGTTCACACTTTAGCTTTTTTTTCCTCAAAATTATTTGTCACTTAAGAGACAGACAGAGATAGGAAGGGAAAAAAGTTTTTTTCTAGTGTACATTTTGAAACCCTTTCAAAAGCCACAAATGTGTTATGAAACAAATTCTCTAGTCACATGGATTCAAACCACAACATTCTTCCCAACCTACCACTCAAGCAAGCCAAGAATAATCTAGCCAGCCAACTTGCATGTAAGAAACGTACATTGTCTACTGCCTGGAAAACCTCTAAATATCATTTGTACGTGTACCTTGGCTTATGAAAACCATTTCAAGATTGTACAAAGGATAAAACTATGAATTACTAATTACCAAGAGATTATCAAGGACTATGATCATGGATGCTAGATTGATGTGTATTTCAACTTCAGCAGAATGTAATTCAAAAAATTTTAACACATAAAAAACTCTTTTAAAACCTAAGAGATGGTTCATAAAAGAAAATATACATGTAGGTAATAACCGGAAAATGGTCAATTACATTAATCAATGAAACCTATTAAAATTAGCAAAAATCTAAAACAAAATTACCTGTACCATGCTGGTTCAAAAGATTAAAAAAACATTTTTATCAACATATTCAAGCACCTTAAAAAATTTCAGATAATTTGACCCAATTTGATTCTACTTTTATTAGTCTAATCTTTAAAAAAACCCAAAAAACCCTAAAATGTTATATGTGCAAAGATGTTCATTGTAGCACAATTTGCCAAGGAGAAAGCTATAAATGATAAAATAAAAATGGTAAAATGAATTATAGAACATATACTTGGGAAACACATTGTATTTATTCTTTCATTCATTCACTTACTACTGTTTCAGAAAGGATTTAAGGAGGCTCATATGATGACATATTACTTAGCCATGAAAAATTATGTTCAAAAAGCATGTGCAAAATGTGAAAATGCTCATGAATATTAAGAGGGAAGGAGTGGACACAAAATTGTGTGTCTGCAAAGGTAAGATAGTAAGATATGTAATGCTACCTTTTTATAACAACATGCAGAGAAGGAAGGGAAATACACCAAAATATTAAGAATGGTATATGTCTGGGTGGTAACATTACAAGTGAATTTTATTCTCTTATCTTTTTAACTTTATAAGTTTTATACACTGAGCTTATATTTTTATAATAAAATGCTTATACATATTAAAAGTAGAAAAAGGGCAAAATTATTTAAAAAATAAAAAATCTGCCTTCATATATGATGTTTTACAAGATAGCTCTTCCTGTTTAGCCACTAATGAATAGAAAAAGGAAAATGAGAATACCCAAGAGAAAAAAATCCATATGGAAATTAACTTCAAGAAATATGCTGGGGCCAGCTCAGTGGCACAGCATTGTTAAGTTCGCATGTTCTGCCTGGGCAGCCAGGGTTCGCCAGTTTGGATCCTGGGTGCAGACCTATGCACCAGTTGTCAAGCCATGCTGTGGTAGGTGTCCCACATATAAAGTAGAGGAAGATGGGCACAGATGTTAGCTCAGGGCCAATCTTCCTCAGCAAAAAGAGGATAATTGGCAGATGTTAGCTCAGGGCTAATCTTCCTCAAAAAAAAGAAAACAAAGAAATATAAATTTGTCAATTAAAGGTATCAAAACAAAGACAGAGTAAAAAGATGATACATTATAAGGTTGACGGGAGGGGAGGACACTGACATAAATGAGAGAATACCAAAGAAAGGCAAGGAGTTTTAATAATGAAATCAAATAGCCTATCAATGAACTTATGCTAACATGTTTATCTCATTTATACTGTAGCTTCAAACAAGAACACATCTAGAGACAGAAAGTAGAAGTGTGGTTGCCAGGGGCTTGAGGGAGGGGGAACGGGTAATGAGAATGTACTTTTAGTTTGGAAAGATGAAAAAAGTTCTGGAGAAGGATGGTGGGGATGGTTGCACAATAATGTGAATATACTTAATGCCAATGAACTGTACATTTATAAACTGTTAAAACAGTAAATTTTATGTTACGTATATTTTACCGCATACAAAAAAGAATGAATTAAGGTCTGATTTGAAGTAAATTCAACTGGTTAAGGTATATATTCAGATTGGCTCTTTGAGTTCACGGCTTTTCTGAAACAGTATTCTATAATGATGTGAGCATAATTTAAAAGAAAAAGCTGTAATTACACTATAAGAGCAACTTTCTCTTAATCAGAGGGTAGCCTATTGCACCTGTTTACTAATTCTTCTAATGTAGCCAATGTTTAGTTTCAAGTATTAAGGAAGCATGCCTCATCTAAACAAAGGTTTAAAAGTAAAGCAGCCATTAGATTCAAAGAAAAAAGAAAGGAGACGTAAGTGAGGTCACTAATAATTTCAGTGTTCACACAAATTTCTGGTAATTGCTTATGAGGATAAATCTCCAACAGTAAGCCCCATTCCTAGAAATAGGGCAAAATACAGAACTGTCCCCATAGCTCCTGGGAAGAACCACGGTTATCATTAAAATGTAGTGGAGACTCCTGACGATAAAGCATTCTACAAATAGAATTTTTCTATTTTAAAATAATCTTCTGGTTATAAAAAAGCAAGAAACAAAATAGGAAAAAACTTTTCAGGACTTAAATTCCATAGCCAGTTTTCACAATTCACTTTAAAAATCTCACTTACCCTTCTAGTATTTTCAAGAATTTTGGGATCAGGTTTTCCATAGTTAGGTGGATTGGCATATGGGTCATATCCAAGTTTGGCGAGCATGGGTGCAATCACTGCCATGTCTTGTAAAACATCTGGAGGTATCTTCCCAACCCATTTTGATAGAGCTCCCACATTGACTGGCTTGATGACTTGGTCTGTAGATCTCTCCACTCTGAAAATATATAATGTGAATAAATATTTATTTAGAACACCAAAAAATAGTGTTAAAAGACAGTTGGAAATTATTTTTGATAACTTTAAAATTTGTAAGTGTCTGGATCTGTTGAGAAAGAGGGCACTAATCAGGCTTAACACTATTTACCAGACGTTGTTTAATGTTCTAAATTTGGCAGTGATCAATGGCAACTTCAGATTTCTAGAAACTGGAAAAAGGGTCAGTTGAAAACTTCAGCAGAAAATGTACTGACACTTTAATTGCAACAGTCAGAAAAAAATAACAAAGCTAAGAATGTTTACGAAAACAGCCAGTCAACTTACTCGAAATGCATGATTAATAAACAACTAAATAAATAAATAAGATGGATGGATGAATGACCAGAGGGACAGATAGATGGACTAATGTAACAAAGTAAATACAGCAAAATGTTAATTGTAGCTGGTGGGTAAAATTCTTTTATAATTCCTTCTGTTTGAAATTTTTCAAAATGAAATTTTGGGGGGAAAATAGCCAACCATAATCTGCTAAAAATGAAAACTATTCATTTGTTCTATTTTTCTACTGACTTCCTGAAAAATTTTACTTTCTAACGAAGAAAAAGAAGTGCTGGTGATGATTTTCAATATTATAGAATAAATGTGTTCTACCTCTTGACCTCGGAAATTACTTTTCAGCTTACAGTGATAATATTTACTATATTTGGCTAAATAAGTCATAATCTCAGGATAAAACATAACATAAAATGACACCTAGGTTTAAATTGGATCTGAATTAGCAGATTTTGGCCAAACGACTATAAGACAAAAACGTTAGGAGAGTTTTACATCATAATACATAAGAAGTCATTCAAACATAATATTCCAATAAAGGATAAAAACCCTTTTTCTTTAAGGATATGAACTCTCCCAGGAGATAATCTTTATCTGATGAGGAATCCCTCAGAGAGACTCCACTCCTAAAATAACAGACAAGAGAAAAATGAAATGATTCCTCCCTGGGATGCTGTGAGACCACTACTCCAGGTTTCCTTCCTGCCTCAAAGGCCACATTCTTTTCTTCCGTTTTGAAAACTTCTCCAGAAAAAGAAAAAGAAAATCTTTAAAAAAAAAAAAGAAACTTCTTCAGGATTCCACTTAACTCTATATGTCTAGATGGACTTAATAGATCTATATAGAATATTCCATCCAAAAATAGCAGAATACACATTCTTTTCAAGTGCACATGGAACATTCTAAAAGACAGACCATGTGTTGGGAAACAAGGCAAGCCTCAATACATTTAAGAAACTAGAAACCATATCGAGCATCTTTGCTGACCACAATGCTATGAAACCAGAAACTGACTACAAGAAAAAGGCTGGAAAAGTCACAAATATGTGGAGACTAAACAACATGCTACTGAACACCCATTTGATCAATGAAGAAATCAAAAAATACCTAGAGCCAAATGAAAATGAAAATTCAACATACCAACTACTATGGGATGCAAGAAAAGTGGTGCTAAGAGGGAAATTTACAGCAATACAGGCCTACCTCAACAAAGAAGAAAAATCTCAAATAAATAATATTAAACTACACCTAACGAAACTAGAAAAAGAAGAAAAAGTAAAGTCCAAAGTCAGCAGAAGGAGGGAAATAAAAATTAGAGCAGAAATACACAAAACAGAGACCAAAAACAATAAAAAGGATTGATGAAACTAAGAGCTGGTTCTTTGAAAAGATAAACAAAATTGACAAACCCTTAGCCAGACTCACTAAGAAAAAAAGAGAGAAGGCTCGAATAGATAAAATTAAAAATGAAAGAGCAGAAATTACAATGGATACCACAGAAATACAAAGGATTTTAAGAGAATACTATGAAAAACCATATACCAACAAATTGGATAACCTAGAACAAATGAATAAATTTTTAGATTCATACAACCTCTCAAAACTGAACGAAGAAGAAATAGAGAATCTGAATATAACAATCACAAGTAAAGATATTAAAACAGTAATCAAAAACCTCCCAAAAAACAAAAGTCCAGGACCAGATGACTTCTCTAGAGAATTCTACCAAACATTCAAAGATTTACTAACTATCCTTCTTAAACTATTACAAACAATTGAAGAAGATGGAGCACTTCCTAACTCATTCTGAGGCCAACATCACCCTGATCCCAAAAACAGACAAGGACAACACAAAGAAGGAAAATTACAGGCCAATATTGCTGATGAACAGAGATGCTAAAATCCTCAACAAAACATTGGCAAACTGAATATAGCAATTCATTAAAGGGATCACACGCCACGATCAAGCGGGATTTCTAACAGAGATGCAAGGATGGTTCAACATCCACAAATCAATCAATGTGATACATCGCATTAACAAAATGAGGAATAAAAATCACATGAACAACTCAATAGATGCAGAGAAAGCATTTGACAAGATACAGCATCCATTTATGATGAAAACTCAATAAAATGGGTATAGAAGGAAAGTATCTCAACATAATAAAGGCCATCATATATGACAAATCCACAGCCAACATCATACTCGATGAAAAACTGAAAGCCATCCCCCTGAGAACAAGAACAAGACAAGGGTGCCCACTCTTATTCAGCATAGTACTGGAGGTTTTTGACCAGGGAAATTAGGCAAGAAAAAGAAATAAAAGTTACGCAAACAGGCAAGAAAGAAGTGAAACACTCGCTGTTTGCGAACAACATGACTCTCTATATAGAAAATCCTAAAGAATCCATCAGAAAAGTATTAGAAACAATAAACAACTATAGCAGAGTTGCAGGGTACAAAATCAACTTACAAAACTCAGGTGCATTTCTATACTTTAATAATGAACTAACAGAACACTCAAGAATACAATCCCATTTACAATCACAACAAAAAGAATAAAATACCTAGGAATAAATTTAAGCAAGGAGGTAAATTTAACTATTCCACTGAATACTACAAGACATTGTTGAAAGAAACTGAAGAAGACATAAAAATATAGAAAGATATTCCATGCTCTTGGACTGGAAGAATAAACATAGTTAAAATGTCCATATTACCTATAGCAATCTATAGATTCAGTGCAATCCCAATGAGACTCCCAGTGACATTCTTCACAGAAATAGAACAAAGAATCCTAAAATTTATATGGAACAACAAGACCCCAAATAGCTAAAGCAATCCTGAGAAAAAAGAACAAAGCTGGAAGCATCACAACCACTGACTTCAAGATATACTACAACACTACAGTAATCAAAACAGCACAGTACTCGTACAAAAGCAGACACACAGATCAATGGAACAGAATTGAAAGCCCAGAAATAAAACCATACATCTATGGACAGCTAATCTTTGAAAAACGAGCCAAGAACATACAATGGAGAAAGAAAGGTCTCTTCCATAATCGGTGTTGGGAAAACGGGACAGCCATGTGCAAAAGAATGAAAGTAGATCATCTTGCACCATATACAAAAATTAACTCAAAATGGATCAAGACTTGAATGTAAGACCAGAAACCATAAAACACCTAGAAGAAAATAAAGGAAGTATGCTCTCTGACATCAGTCTTAGCAGCATCTTTTCAAATACCATGTCTACTCAGGAATGGGAAACAAAAGAAAAAATTAACAAATGGGACCACATCACACTAAAAAGCTTCTGCAAAGCAAAAGAAACCATGGACAAAATGAAAAGACAACCTCCCAAATGGGAGAAAATATTTACAAATCACACATCTGAAAAAGGGTTAATTCCCAAAATATATAAAGAACTCATATAACTCAACTACAAAAAAATAAACAACTTGATCAAAAAACGGGCAGAGTATGAACAGACATTTTTCCAAAGAAGATATACAAAAGGCCAACAGGCACATGAAAAGATATTCAACTCACTAATTATTAGTGAAATGCAAATCAAAACTACAATGAGATATCACCTTACACCTGTTGGAATGGCTATAATCACCAAGACAAAAAACAACAAATGTTGGAGAGGATGGGGAGAAAAGGGAACCCTCAAACACTATTGGTAGGAATGTAAACTGGTGCAGCCATTATGGAAAACAGTATGGAGTTTTCTCAAAAAATGAAAAATCTAAATACCATATGACCCAGCTATCCTAATACTGGGTATTTATCCAAAGAACTTGAAATCAACAATTGAAAGAGATTGATGCACCCTTATGTTCACTGCAGCATTATTCACTATAGCCAAGAGGTGGGAGCAACCCAACTTCCCGTCAACTGATGAATGGATAAAGAAGATGTGGTGTATGTATGTGTTTTTATATATATATATAATGGAATACTATGCAGCTATAAAAAAAGACAAAATCATCCCATGTGCAACAACATGGATGGATCCTGAGGGTATTATGTTAAGTGAAATAAGCCAGACAGAGAAAGACAAACACCGTATGATTTCACTCACATGTGGAAGATAAACTCATGGATAAAGAGAATAGATTAGTGGTTACAAGAGGGGAAGAGGGTAGAAGGGGTGGGCTAAAGGGGTAAAGGGGCACATATGCATGGTGATGGATAATTACTACTGGGCCTTTCACAGACAACAGTTTGTGACCCCTACTTCACACTAAATCCTTTGTTGGCTAAACGTTTGACAGATATCTTTGCCCTCTCCACGGCTTGCCTTTTGACTTTATTATTGGTATTTTCTAATAAACAGGATTTCTTAATTAAAAAAAAAAAAACCTAAGATGTTCCAAAACCTTGACACGTCATCTTCTTCTCCAAATATACTCCTCTTCATGTACATCTTATCTTGATAAATGGCACCTATCCACAAGGCAAAGACGAGATCTGGGATGAAACAGGGAGAAAGCAAGATCACTCCCAAGTTATCTAGTTCTACAGGCTTTATCTCTGAGTAGGACAACCTCTCCTCCATTCCTACTGCCACTACCTTAGTTCATGTCACCATGATTTCTCGCCCAGATTACTACAAAAGTCTCCTAATTTCCCTCCATTTAAATTGTCGGCTTC